TTTCCCTACAAACATAGATTAATTTTTGATTTTTGGTACCTAAATTCTTTTGGGTCCATATTTATTAGTTTCCAAAATCCTAGTCCCCTTAGGTATCCATTTGTGTAGGATATTTTTATCTTTAGTAGTAATGAGTTCTTTAGGAACCCACATACTTCTAACGATTTTTCCATTAGAGGTTCTTTGGGGACCTCTATGATTGTAGTTTCTAAAACTTTTTCTAACAAAGTTGGATTTTGAATTTCCACCTTTTTCAAAATGTTTTGTTCCAACTTTATCAAAAGAAGTTTTAAGATCATCAATTTTCTTTTGATGATCATCATTGATCTTTGAAAGTAAATTTTGCATATCTAAAATTTTCTTTCCAAACTCTTCTAGTTTGATTTGCAAATCTTTGATTTTACTTTCAAGATCGTTGTTGGTTTTGGATATGAGTTTGTTTTCATTTTTCAATTTTAAAACATCATTTTTATATTTTAAAAATAATTTCTCATAATCCGAAGCCAACCCATTATATTCCTCTAATAACTCATCATAGGATAAATCATCAAAATCGGATGAGTAAGAGGTTACCTTAGAATCTTCCCCAAATGCCATCAAGCACAAGTTAGCTACTTCTTGTTCCTCTCTATCAAAACTTTCTTCATCGCTCCATGTAGCCACATGAGCCCTGTGCTTATTCTTTGATTGACCATTTTTCTTCAATTGTGGGCAATCATATTTGACATACCCTGGCTTTTTGCATTCGTAGCAAATGATTGGGTCCTTCTCTTTCGGTTCATTTTTTGAGGCCTTCATTTCGTTTGAATTTTCTTCCTCGATAAGGTCTCATCATTTTTCTGAACCGTTTGGCAAACAATGCCATTTCCTCGTCATCGTCATCGTCATTCGAATCACTCTCATCTTTTGTGGATTTGAGAGCAACTCCAATGTTTTTCTTCTTCTCCTTCTCCTTTGGTGTCTCGTCAATCTTGTCGAGCTCCACCTCATCTTCAAGCATCATTTCATGAGTGAGGAGTGACCCAATTAGCTCTTCAAGAGTTAAGGACGTTAAGTCCTTAGACTCGATGATTGCCGTCTTCTTTGATTGCCACGATTTTGGGAGGGAGTAGACTAACTTCCTCACAAGCTTTTCATTTGAAATGATCTCTCCATATGATTTGAGACCATTGACAATCGTTGAAAATCTATCCGTCATAGCTTTGATATCTTCATTTAGTTTCATCCTGAAATTTTCATAGCTATGCATTAGAATACTAATTTTAGATTTCTTTACCTCATCGGTACCTTCATGAGTGACTTGAAGTTTGTCCCATATTTCTTTGGCGATTGTACACGATGAAACTCTTTTTTGCAAAATAAATTCCTTAAAATTAATAGCCCCATTCCAGGAAGAGGTGAAGAGATGATTGCGTCTAATTTCCAATTTAACGGATTAATCATCAATTTTATCATTAAGTTGATTATTAATCTGTTAGGAATTGAGTTAGTAATATCACCAATCTCCCTATATATACTGCATTCAAGATTTGCAATTTTTACTAAGGAAATTATAAGATCTAGAAATTCAATAATATACTTCAAGGTTAAACAAATTGTGAGTACTTGCTCAATCTTCCTCATTCTGACAAAGCAACGGCAGCAATACAACAACAAAGTTTATTGCATGGTAATTTTTAAATTTTTAGTTTTTATTTTACTTTTTTGTAATTACCATTAAGAGTTCTGCTCATAAATGCAATTGATTATTTTTTAATATAGATTGCAGAGGTTAATTTATTAATTATATTGAGGAGAGTTGGATTACTTAATCTTGTAAAAAACGAGAATCATGGTGCTATCTGTTCTCTCTCCCTTTTTATGTAGTTATTTTAATTTTCAATTTTATCATTTCTTTAGTCTATGAGTGTACGTTTTGTTCAATATGGTTCGAAAATACCAATCTGGTTATGAAAAGCGTAAAAAAGCTAAGAGAGTATAACAATTAATTCAATCTCAAAAAGGTACTTTAGCTAAATTTTTTCTAAAGGAACCCCAAGTTGAGGAAAAGTCTGATAATTCAAATGAGTTAGATGGGGTTAATGTTGATGATGAGAATGTTGAACCAATAGAGAATGTAGGTGACGATGTTAATATGGAAAATGCCAATATTCCAAATGATTTTGAACAAAATTTGGAGCATAATTATGATCATATTGACCATAATGCTGAATAAAATGAATATGCTTTAGTTGATATATATGATCCATGAAAATGGGATTCTCTTGATTCAAAATTGATTGACATTTTGCCTGTAAATGACCCCAAAAGGGACTTGACACTTGTAAAAGGCTCTAAAGACAAACATTCTCGTAGATTGTCTTCAAATTTTTATACAAGATATTTGCCTAATGGTAAAACTTGTGATAGAGATTGGTTTGTTTATTCAAAGGAGTTTGACAAAGAATTATGTTTTTGTGCAAGATCTTTAAAAAGGATCCTAGAAAAAGGTCATTTAGTAAATGAAGGGTTTAATGATTGGATGCATCTTAGTACTAGACTTAAAGAACATGAAACCAGTCTTGATCATGTATTGAGTATGGCGACTTGGTGTGAACTTCGACATAAGTTGCAACAAAGTGAAACAATTGATAAAGTTGTTCAAGAACAATTTAAAAATGAAAATGAGTACTGAAAAAATGTTATTGTAAGAAACATTGTTGTTTTGAAGTATCTTGCTACACATAATCTTGCATTTCATGGAAAAAAATAAAGGTTATATCATACAAGTAATGGAAATTTTTTAGGTTTGATAGAAATGTTGGTTGAGTTTGATCCTGTGATGAAGGAGCATGTGGAATGTATTAATAGTGGTAAGATTCGTCACCATTATCTGAGTCATGATATTCAAAATGAGTTAATACTCTTGCTTTCTTCTAAAATTAGATCGATCATAATCCAAAAAAAAAAAGAGACTAAATATTTTTATGTGATGTTGGATTGTACACCTGATGCTAATCATCAAGAACAAATGACCTTGATTATAAGGTGTGTTGATGGCTCTTTAAATACTTATGAAATTAAAGAATTTTTCATTGAATTCTTACAAGTTGATGATACAACTGGCCAAAGACTTTTTGAAGTGTTAGAAAATATTCTTAATTCTCATGATCTTGATATAGATAATGTTAGAGGTCAAAAATATGATAATGAGTCTAATATGAAAGGTAAGAATCAAGGTGTGCAAAAAAAAACTATTAGATTTGAATCCTAAAGCTTTTTATACTCCATGTGGTTGCCATAGTCTTAATATGGTTTTATGTGACATTGCAATCACTTCAATTAAAGCAAGAGATTTCTTTGGAATAGTTCAGCGCATTTATACTTTGTTTGCTAATTCAACAAAGAGGTGACAAATTTTAAAAGAAAAATGTGAAAGATTATACCCCCAAATCATTGTCAGCCACAAGATAGGAGAGTAGAGTTGATAGTATTAAGGCCATAAGATTTTAAATTGTTTAATTACGAGAAGCCTTATTACAACTAGTTGATGTTGATAATGATTCCAAAATTCAAAGTGAAGCGAAATCCTTGGCTATAAATGAACTTGGTAGTTTTGAATTTTTTTCTTTCTACAATCATTTGGTATGAAATTCTCTCTGCTATGAACTTGGTTAGCAAATATTTACAATCAAAATACATGTTGATTGATATTGCTATGAGTGAGATAAAAGGGTTGATATCCTTTTTTTAAGAATTTAGAGATGTTAGATTTTCCAATACCATGGATATCGCAAAAACAATAACTATTGAAATTGGAAATGACCCTGTATTTCCTCATAGGCATATGATACGTAGAAAAAGACAATTTGACGAGCTTAATGGTGAGGAAACATCATTATCTCCAAAGGAATCATTTATAATTCAATATTTCATCTACATTGTTGATCAAACTATTTCGTCATTAGAAAAGAGGATATATGAATTGTATGAGAGTGTTTTTGGATTTTTCTTCAATTCTGATAAGTTGCAATTAATGGATGACATCAAACTCCAATCTTGTTGTATTAACTTTGAGAATGCTCTTAGGAAATGTGAGTTATCAGATTGTGATGGACATGATTTGTATATTGAGTTAAAATTACTTGGGGAGATTTTACCTAAGGAAAAAATGGGAGCAATGGATTTATTGAATTTCTTGAAGCGTTTTAATTGCTTTCCAAATGTCACAATTGCATATAGAATCTTATTGACAATTCCTGTAACTGTTGCTTCTACATAAAGGAGTTTTTCGAAATTGAAGTTGATCAAATCATACTTACGGACAACCATGTCACAAGAAAAGCTAAATGGACTTGCTTTAATGGCCATTGAGAGCGATATTTTAGAAGAATTTGATACTGAAAGTGTTATAAATGATTTTATTTCAAAAAATGTAATACGAGCATCACATTTTAAGTGAATATGTACGACTTTCTATATTCTTAATATATATAATGTAATATGATATTCTCTCTATAATTTAGTAAAGGTTTTATAGTTAATAAAATCATCTTTAAAAAAATTGAGATTTAAGGGCCTCTTTTTAAGAATTTGCACAGGACCTCCAACGTTTTAGCCCCGACCCTGTTTGACACAACTGAATTTTTTATAGGCATTCATAATATTTTCAACTTTTAATTTATTTTATTATCGTGAAAAAATCTAAAACTCCATTAACTTAAATTCATATTTTAGATGCAACCTAAAATATTAATGATATTTATAACATTTGTTGTTTATAACTTTATTTTTTTATCATTTATATTATTTTAAGCACAATTTAAAATGTTAAAATATTTAAAATATCTACCGTTTATAATTTATTTTATTATCGCTTATAATATTTTTGATATAACATGTTATGTTATTGCGATTAATAAATTTTTCAATTTTATATTATAACATTTTATATTTTAATTTCAGCATGTTTCCTTTTTTAGTATCGCGCCGTTTATTAATTTTATTTTAGTCCACTCACATAAGAACTCCCCGATCTCAAACTCCAATATCAAAGAAAACATCTCCCCGTTGCCATTTTCTCTGCAATCTCATCTTTGTCCGTCTCTCCCGACCCCTTTCTCATTTATAGCTTCAAAGCCACAAAAGCGCTCTCTTCCATCCTCTATCCCATCTCCACTCTCCATTGCCTCTGATTTCGCCACAAAGTCAAACTCTTAACTCCATCTAATCAACGAAATGAAGCATAAACCCAGATTACAGGCCCCGATCAGTGTAAACTGAGACACTTATCATAAGCTGCAACCACACAGGATCCCTCCCCCTTCTCTTAGCTCCTTTCTTCGATCCCTATAGGCTGTTGCCGTTGAAGAACATACGGAGAAGTTTTTCGGCTTTATTTTTACTTTTTTTGGCGTGGTAAGTAAGAAAATTGAAAATTGAGAAGAACGGGAAATCCTATAGTGTCATGATCAGATTATGTTATTGGGTGTATGATTAAGAGGCGGCATGATCAACACAGCTAACGGTATGATTTCTACACCATCTTCATCGGCGAACGCTCAATCGTCGGGTTTGAAGACTTATTTTAAAACCCCAGAAGGTCGATATAAACTTCAATACGAAAAGACTCACCCTTCTAGCCTTCTTCACTACGCTCATGGAAAGACTGTTACTCAGGTAACTTCAAAATTTTAGGGTTATAATCAAGATCCATCCTTTTAATTTCACTTTAAGTAGGTCTTATTTGTAGTATGGAAATTCATTTTGGTGTTTTTGTACTTAAAATCTATAATTAGATAATAGCATTTCCAATATATTTATAAGAAATAGGGTTTAAACATATACCCATTTGTTGGAATCACACTGAATAGACATATATTAAATTAATGTTAAGTTATTTTTTATGTTCAATTTGAGCATTGTTGGTTGAAGGATTGAATATTAAGGACTTTAAATTAATGCCCATGTTTCTAAACTCAAATTTCTAGTGTTCAGTTTCAATATTGGTTTTCTAGGTTACCCTTGCACATCTGAAGGACAAGCCAGCTCCATCATCCAGCTTTAGTGCCAGCACCGGGGTAAAATCAGCAGCAGCAAGGTGGCTAGGCTCTGGGAATGGCAGCCGTGCACTTAGCTTTGTTGGAGGGAATGGTGGGGGTAAAACTATTAGTAGTCATAGTAGGATTGGGTCATTGGGTGCTTCAAGTTCAAGCAATTCATTGACTAATACAAATTTTGATGGGAAAGGAACTTATTTAATCTCAAATGTCGGTGATGCTATTTTTATAAGTGATTTGAATTCTCAGGATAAGGTAACTTAGAATTTGACTTGTTAAGATATTTGATGAATAAAAAGGGTTTTACACGGAGCTATTTTAAGAATGTTGGTGTTTAATATAGGATCCAATAAAGTCTATCCATTTCAGCAATTCAAATCCTGTTTGCCATGCTTTTGATCAGGATGCCAAAGAGGGGCATGATTTGCTCATTGGGTTGAACTCCGGTGATGGTAATCATTTTTCTGATTTGCAATTTCGATTCCAAGGTTTGAAATCTGCAAATTTATTAGTTTTGTTTCATTATTGTAGTTTACTCAGTATCACTGAGACAGCAGTTACAGAATATTGGAAAGAAGCTTGTTGGGGCACAACATTACAATAAAGATGGTTCTGTGAATAACAGGCAAGATTTGATAATGCTATTCTTTTATATATTTTCTAACTTTTTTTAAGTTCTACTTTTTCAACCTTTCCCCCTGCCAAGTTATTTTTAAATTTCCATGATCAGTATGTTGTTTTTTCGGTCTTCCTGCATGGTGATTCTTGTAGATTTATATATCCTAGTTCTAGAGTTCCATGAAAACAGGTTGTAATAATACCCAATGGTTCGTTAGCAGGATAATTTGCATGACAGCTTATGTAGCTTAGTTTTTCTTTCAGATGGTACATATTTAGCTTACTCCATAAAACCATCATAAAAGTATCTTTCTGTGGAATACCCTTTTGTTGTTATACAAGGGAAATATTGCTTTTTTGGTCAACAATAAATTACTATTCCATCCACCTTTGAGATCTTCCTATAGAGTACTTCATTTGCTTTCTCTTTGACCTTCATATTCAATCTGTGTTATAAGGAATCAATGCTATCAATTGAATTGGACTCTCCATGAATTATTTGCTAGCAATATTCAAATTGAATTTCTCTTCAACTTTTGCTTTCCTTTTGGGGTTCCCTTTGGAAAATAGAACGGGACAACCTACTTTTGTGACTAATTGGTGTTTATCTGCAATATATATATATTGTTTGTTGGTTCTACCTTTTGTTTGATTAATGCTTGTTATTTCCAGCAGTTGCTGTACTAGTATCACATGGGTTCCTGGGGGTGATGGTGCTTTTGTTGTTGCTCATGCTGATGGAAATATGTATGTGTATGAAAAGGCAAGTTTCCCATAATTAGAAGGCTTTTTTTCGGTCTGGGGTACAACTTACAAATTTCTTGATTTTCTATGCAGTATGCTCTTTTTTGAGCTTTTCTTTTTTTCCCCCTGTAGAACAAGGATGCTGCCGGTGATTCTTCATTCTCTGTTGTAAAAGACCAAACTCAATTTTCTGTATCACATGCACGTTACAGTAAGGTACTAGTCAGTGTTCATTTTTAGAACTTTGACTCTCTCATTTGTGTATGCTTCCTGAAATTGGCATTCTTAACCTTAGAACGATTATCTAAACCCGTAGGCCATTAACATTATATCATTTGTATGGTTCTAGAAGGTGTTGTCTTGCTTATTACATATTTTTCTCTGGGTCATAGATGACCTAGATTCTGAAAATGGTGATTGACACCCAAATTTCTTAGACAGCTGCAATTAGTCCTAATTTTGTCCATGGTTTTTTATATATTATTGTCTTTTTCTTTTTTCGAAGAGCTGCAAGTAATTATTTAGAAGCCTACATTAATCATGCATGCTCTAAGCCTTTTATCAACACATTAACTGCAACTGTAGTACGAGAATGAAAGATAAAGGAAAAATGATTTAGTCTGGTGCTTGCCTGCTGGTGTGTGTATACATATATTATTTTCTTACAGTTAATGCTATTATAGTCTTGGTATGTTGACAGGATAAAGGTCCCTCCGTAGCACCACAATTTGGGATTGGTCCGACTGTTGTTTGATATCATTGAGGAAGCAATATATGTTTTATTCCAAGCTTTCCATATGTTCTTTGTCTGTCACTTTTGTTGACTTCCTATTTTTTAATTGCAGAGTAATCCAATTGCAAGATGGCATGTTTGTCAAGGGAAGATTAATAGCATTGCTTTCTCCTTTGATGGGGCCTACTTGGCCACTGTTGGAAGAGATGGTATTAATTTAAATTCACATAATTTATTTTTTCTGGTCATTTTCTTTTCTAGTTTGTTTAAACTTTAAAATTTCTTTCTCTTTTAATACGCTGAGTGCAGGCTATCTTCGAGTGTTTGATTATTCAAAAGAACAGCTCGTTTGTGGTGGAAAAAGCTATTATGGTTCTGTACTATGTTGTGCTTGGAGGTGCTCTGTTTTTGTTGTTTAACTTTTTAAAACCATGGCTGTTTTTCTCCTGTATACTGTGTTTTCAATTTGCTGCATCGCATTCCTTTATATAAAAAAATAAAATGTTATTGACAACAATATCAACTAAACAGCATGGATGGGAAATATATTCTGACCGGAGGTGAAGATGACCTGGTTCAAGTTTGGAGTATGGAAGATCGGAAGGTTGTCTCATGGGGTGAGGGGCACAACTCATGGGTATGATTTTTATCTTCTAATGAAAGCTTATGTTTATTTACTTTTAGATGATGGCCTCTTACGAACTGGTGTTGACAGGTCAGTGGAGCAGCGTTTGATTCATATTGGTCATCGCCTAATACAGATGGCACAGGAGAGACTGTGATGTACCGTTTTGGTTCTGTTGGTCAGGTATATACTCTGGTCAAAATAATGACTGCCTTATCATCATATTTTCCATCTTTGTGTGATATTTTCCCATGGTTATTTCCTGATGGTGCATTCTGATTGTTTCTTGATTGTGTTTGTGGATTCAACTCATAAGTTCCACAGTGTCTTGGTTCTGCAATTAATAGATGCTTCACACTTACGTTTATGTCGTGAAGCTATGTTACTAGAGGGTTAGAGATTGTCTCCTTTTTCTATTTAATACCCCTTGTGGCTGTTCATGCTCATGGATGAAAAGTAACTCCCTCCCCTCGCAACCAAACCCACCCCAACCACGCAACTCGCAAATGTGCAGTGGAAAAGGTTTGACAGTAAAAATTAGCTCCTTTCCTATTGTAGGGGGCCATCTGACTGTAGATCTTGAACTTGAGCATGTTAGAGCTGAAATTCAGACTCTGAAATAAGCTTGTCTTTAATGGTTATCATACTAATCCGTATTGTTCCTTTCTCCTGGAAAGAAAGCTGTACACTCTTGCAGCTCCTTCACTACAGTATGTCTCATGACTGCCTTCTTCTGTGCAGGACACACAGTTGTTACTGTGGGACCTGGAAATGGATGAAATTGTGGTGCCATTGCGTCGGTGTGCAGGAGGGTCTCCTACTTACAGCACTGGGAGCCATTCTTCCCACTGGGATAATGTGTTCCCATTAGGTACCTTGCAACCTGCCTCAAGCATTCAAGATGTCTCAAAAATTCCGCCACTTGTTGCTCATCGCGTTCACAACGAACCCCTCTCGAGCCTGATTTTTACCCAGGACTCGGTACTTACAGTTTGTCAAGAGGGGCACATAAAGATCTGGATGAGACCTGGTGTTGCAGAAAGCCAATCAAGCAACACCGAAACATTGTTAAGTACCTCCACCAAGGATAAGCCATTACATTCCTGCAAGATTGGCAGTCCTACCTACAAGCAATGATCAGACCATCACAAAGATTCAAGGCGAAATGAAAGGTCGTTTTTTTTTCTTTTTTTGCCGAAGTGGCATTTCTTTTCGCTAGTGTGGCCGTTCATCTCTCTTTAACCTGTTGGTTTTTGCAAGTACAACTGTGTAAACCGAATTGAATTGCAATGAGGCGAACCACCTGAATCCATTGTATATTCAAGGACAAAAATTGTCATTGACGGCACAAAGAGGTGTGGAGGACAAAAGAACCTCCATTATAAAAGTACAAACGGCTGTTCCTAGAATATTTGACAGTGACAGGACGCTGCTCCTTTAAGATCTGTATTCTTAGAGCAATTATTTATTATCGGTTATGTATCATATCGCCATTAAGATTATATAATTTGTTGGATCATTGAAAAATTGATGTTGATCACGCTGATCAGCTTCACGCACATAATGGCTGATTGAATCTACGCCAAGTTGATCTTAAAATGAGTAAATCATATTGTATTTGATTGAAACACGTGGTTTTTACTTTTTTTAACATTTAAACATGTAAAGTTGGAAGACTATTTCTTAACTTTCAATAAGTGAGAGATTTGACAAAGCAGGATTATTTGTGTAATATACCCAAAAAGTAAACAGATACTAAAAGAAAATTTCACATTCCAGCAATTCATTCATTACATGATTGATACGGCTTCCTGTTCGATTATTATGACGAGCATATAGTGAGAGATGAAATTAGTGATAAAGAGAAAAGAGTATAAAAAGGCAATAGAGTAGTACTACACAGGAAGATATTTGAAGAAACATGATTGATACAGCTTCCTGTTCGATTATTATGATCGTAATGCGAGGGAAGAGGCAAGGGAACCGGCGGCTGAGGCGGATAGTAGCCTGGATACTGATAGTATTGGGGTGGGTTCGTGTTGGGGTACTGTGGCGGGTAAGGCGTGGCGGTGGCGAAGACGTAGCGGTTGGCTGTGATATCGGGTTGAGGTTGTGCTGGAGTAGGCGGCGGCGGAGGTTGGTTTCGCCGACTCTCATTACGCCGCCAGCCATTTCCAATGCTTCCGATGTTTCCCATGAATTTTTTTGTTGTTGAAGGGGATATAAGGTAATTAACAATAAATATAAAAAGAAGATTTTTATAACGAAGTTAGATCCAAATTCAAGTGAATAAATTTGGGTTTTCCTCTTTTTGCCCAGAGGAACGGAAAAGAAAAAAAATGAAGTTTTTGGAAAAAGGACGAGAGAGAAAGAAGAGAGTTTGTTATTTGATGGATTCTTCGTCAATAGAAGATGGGGATTTTACCAACGGTATCCTTAATATCATGCTAAGATAAAGTGTTGTTAGTTTTGTTATTATTTTTTTAATAAAATTGATAAAATATTATTTAAAATATTATTATATTTATCTAAAATATTAATGTGTTTTAATATATTTAGTAAAGTGTCTAATAATAATAAAATTGGTATTGTTTTACTGAATATGTCAACAAAACGATAAAGCGTCTAATAATAACAAAATCGGTAGAAATAATAATGTTTATGATAATTTTTTATCGGTTTTTTAAAAAAATAATAATAAAACCGATAGCGTCTTACCTTAATTTTATATTAAGGGTGCGTTTGGTTCACGGAATATAAGATTACCAATGGGAATAAAAGATTATCAGAGAATATGATTACTGTGAATGTTGTATTTTGTGTTTAGTTGGTTTAACTTGAATGTAAGATTACCGTGTTTTGTTAAAGGAATAAAATATTATTGAAATGTATATTTTTACCAAATTATCCTTATTATATATTTGATTTTTAACAAGTTGAATTCTATTATAATATTAATATAATTAATTTTTATATTTTCTTTAAAAAATTTAAATTCATAAAATTCATATAATTTTTTTACAAAATTGAAAAGATAAATAGGTTTAATGAAAGGGTAAAATTTTATTTTAACCACTGAACTTTATATAAAATTCTAATTATAGATTTTTTTGTAAATCTTAAATAGTTTAATGATAAATTTGTAATTAAATATCCGTAGGTAATCCAACAATACATAAGGGAAGGAAGGTAATGACATTCCCGATAATATAGCCCAAAAATCTAATGTTGGTAATAAAAGATTATCGGGGGCTGGGAATATTGACCAACCAAACGGGGGAATGAAATTTCATTCGTTTGGTTTAAGTAATCTGAGATTACCTAAACCAAATACACCCTAAGGGTTCTGCACGTGAGACTTTCTAAGGGAAGGGAGCAAAGAGATTTTTCTTTTAATAATTTGGAAGGCTAAAATGGGTATTTGAGTAGAGTTTCACTCAATTCATCAATAATAAGAAACCTTTTGGTTTAATTCATCTGAGGCCCTCAAACGTTTCTAAAAAAAATGGTTTAATATAAAAAAGTGCTCAATTTGTTTTTCAAATCAGTGCATATTTTTGGTCAATTTAGATATCTAACGTTACAAGTATTATCACTTTAAGTGTCAATGGTCGTTAAAATTCTCTGTTAACTAACATGTTTTGTATTCATGTAATTTAAATTTTTTTTATTTTAAAAAACTTTAAAATATTATTAATTTTAAAAAAGAAACATAAACTTTTTCAAGCCGGAAAGAAGATTCACTGAAAACAAAAAGATGAAAAAGAGCAGAGCAAATTCGATGATAATTGGGAGAGAGTACCAAGACTAGTTAGAGGGAATTGCTCGAAATTTGCAGTTTAAACTATAATGAACTTTTTTGAAATGACAAAAATAACCCTAAAATCCTAAAATCCCTTATTCCAACCCCATACCAATTTTTGCCAACCATCACCAGTCGTCTTAGCCATCGTCGAACGACCATCCGCCCATCGTCGGTCCTCTGTTGTCGACCCTCCCTCTTATTGTCATATCAATCCCCATAAATCCCTAAAACCCTATATATAATTTGTAATCCTAATCCCCAAATCTCTTTTACTCTAATCTCAAATTTGTTAGATTATTTAGTTATTTTTTTAGGGGAAATGAAGGAGAGGAGTTGTTGATGTAGCGACTGAGAGGTGAACGGCAAAGAGGGAAAATGATGGAGAGGGGTTCTCAAGCAAATGTTTGGACGCACAAATGATGCAATGTTTGGGAAGCGACGAAGATGGGTTGTCGAACGACGATGAGATTAAATATGCTCAACGATGAGTCGGTGGTTCAACGATGGTGACAACAACAATGACAATCGATGATGGATGTTAATGGGATTGGAATAAGCTATTTTAGAATTTTAGGGTTTTTTATAATTTCAAAAAATGGTTTTTTAAATATATATTAAAGAAAATTTTCAAAATTATGTAAGTGTGGCACGTGTCACTTAACGAAGATTTTTAATGACCGTTACGACTGAGACACCTAAAGTAGTAACGTTAAACACCTAGATTGACCAAAAAAAAAGTTTAGGCACTCATTTGAAAAAAGGATATAATTTGGACACTTATTTTTATAATAAACCAAAAAATAAATGATTTTTGAGTTATTTTTATGTTCAATGCGACTCTTAAACTCAGAAAAATAATTATAATATAATACTTTTGACCAACGATTTTCATCTTAATCATTACGATGTAAATGTAATAATTTATAATATTAACATGATAAATGGGTTAAATTATCTTTTTTGAAATTTGAGGGTAAATCACACACATATATATATATAATTAAATTTTATGATACCATGGCTCTGAGTTAATTGTTTTGCATACTTTTTATATTATGTGTTATTTTTTCATATTTTCTATAATTTTTTTATAATATTTGAAATTTAACTTGTTTAACTTTAATTTACTTAAAAATGATAATATATATATATATATATACACTCAAAACTAATTTTTATTTTTCTGAAACGAGATGAGAGAAGGTATGCCTAAAACTTATCTTGCATTCAACTTATATAAACACGTTGATGTTGTTATATGTAAAAAAATATTTGAACTCAATTGACACCTAAAATTATGAGCAAGTATTTAATCACGTCAAATTTTTTTAGTTAATTAAATTGACAAGTCATATTTTATAACTAAAAATTTATTTGAAATTTTTTATTCGAGTTGAGTTTATGAAATTAAAGTCAAGTTGAGTTGTTTGAGTTTTTGTTTAAATTTAATTATAAATATATATAATGTTATGGTATTATTTTATTCCAATTTAAATGATTTTCTATAATCATATATGATATACATATTTTTTTTTCATATTTTATCTATGGCATATTGTTAAGAAGTTAAGTTGTTATTTCTGTTTTGCAGTTGTAACTAATTATCAGTTAGTTAGTTAGATTAGAAATGTATATATATTTTTAACATTTCTATTCAATACATATGAAGTATTATATAGTATACCATTTTGCAAATTTAACATGGTATCAGAGCTTTATATCTTTCTATAGTACCAGCAGCAGTGTATCATGAGGCCATTCAACATCCTGAATGGGTACAGGCCATGAAGGATGAAATTCTTGCTCTTGAAACAAATAAAACCTGGTCAGTTGTTTCTTTACCTTCTGGAAAAATTCCCATTGGTTGTAAATGGGTTTATCGGATCAAATACACTGCTGCTGGTACTATAGAAAGATATAAAGCTCGCTTGGTGGCCAAGTGATACAGTCAGAAAGAGGGTGTGGATTATGTGGATACTTTCTCACCAGTGGTTAAATTGGTTATTGTTCGTTTTCTCCTTGCTATTGCTTCTGTTTTTGATTGGCCTCTGTTCCAGCTTGATGTTTATAATTCTTTTTTACAAGGTGATTTGTTTTAGGAGGTATATATGGAACTTCCTTCTGGTTTTTGCAGCCAGGGGGAGAATATGGTATGTAGACTGCAAAAATCCCTTTATGGCTTGAAACAAGCATCTAGACAATGGAATTTAAAGTTGACTGAGGCCCTTTTAGGGGCTGGTTATGAACAAAGTAAATTTGACTATTCTTTGTTCACAATGAGAAAGGATAAGAAGATCGTAGTCTTGTTGATTTATGTTGATGACTTGTTGATTACTGGCAATGATGAATGTTTGATTAATGACTTGAAGAGTTTTTTGAACAAAAAGTTTAAAATGAAAGATCTTGGTGAGTTGAATTATTTTTTGGGGCTTGAAGTTATGAGGTCAAAGGAAGGAATCTTAGTTAACCAGCGCAAATATGCTCTTGAATTAATTGAGGAATCAGGAATGAGTGGTTCAAAACCTGCAAGAACTCCTCTTGAACAAAATGTCCAGCTCACTACAGCAGAGTATGATGAGTTG